TTCTTCACAGTCTGCTTTGGTCTTAACTATCTTGAGCAGTTTAGTATCATCTGCAAACTTTGCCACCTCACTTTTTATCCCTTTCACCAGATCATTTATGAATAAGTTGAATAGGCTTGGTCCTAGGACTGACCCTTGGGGACACCACTAGTTACCCCTCTCCATTCTGAGAATTTACCATTAATTCCTACCCTTTGTTCCCTGTCTTTTAACCAGTTCTCAATCCATGAAAGGACCTTTCCTTTTATCACATGACAACTTACTTTACTTAAGAGCCTTTGGTGAGGGACCTTGTCAAAGGCTTTCTGGAAATCTAAGTACACTATGTCCACTGGATCCCCTTTGTCCACATGTTTGTTGACCCCTTCAAAGAACTCTAATAGATTAGTAAGACACAATTTCCCTTTAGAGAAACCATGTTGACTTTTGCCCAACAATTTATGTTCTTCTATGTGTCTGACAATTTTATCTTTACTATTGTTTCGACTAATTTGCCTGGTATCGACGTTAGACTTACTGGTCTATAATTGCCGGGATCACCTCTAAAGCCCTTTTTAAATATTGGCGTTACATTAGCTATTATTTGTTGCTATCATTGGCAACAAAAAATGATTAGGGGGCTGGAGCACGTGACTTATGAGAGGCTGAGGGAACTGGGATTGTTGAGCAGGGGATTGGACTAGATGACCTCCTGAGGTCCTTTCCAATCCTGATATTCTATGATTCTATCTTCTAGTCATTGGGTACAGAAGCCAATTTAAAGGATAGGTTACAAACCCTAGTTAATAGTTCTGCAATTTCACATTTGAGTTCTTTCAGAACTCTTGGGTGAATGCCATCTGGTCCCGGTGACTTGTTAATGTTAAGTTTATCAATTAATTCCAAAATCTCCTCTCATGACACTTCAATCTGTGACAGTTCCTCAGATTTGTCACCTACAAAAGCCGGCTCAGGTTTGGGAATCTCCCTAACATCCTCAGCCATGAAGCTGAAGCAAAGAATCCATTTAGTTTCTCCGCAATGACTTTATCGTCTTTAAGCGCTCCTTTTGTATCTCGAGCATCAAGGGGCCTCACTAGTTGTTTAGCAGGCTTCCTGCTAATGATGTACTTAAAAAAACATTTTATTACCTTTTGAGTTTTTGGCTAGCCGTTTTTCAACCTCCTCTTTGGCTTTTCTTATTACATTTTTACACTTAATTTGGCAGCGTTTATGCTCCTTTCTATTTGCCTCACTAGGATTTGATTTCCACTTTTTAAAGGAAGTCTTTTTATCTCTTCCTGCTTCTTTTACATGGTTGTTAAGCCACGGTGGCTCTTTTTTTTTGTTTTTTTTACCGTGTTTCTTAATTTGGGGTATACATTGAAGTTGGGCCTCTATTATGGTGTCTTTATAAAGCACCCATGCAGGGATTTCACTTTAGTCACTGTACCTTT